AGGAGAATTGCCTGAACCCGGGAGGCGGAGGTTGCGGTGAGCCGAGATCGCGCCATTGCACTCCAGCCTGGGTAACAAGAGCAAAACTCCGTCTCAAAAAAAATAAATAAATAAAACTAAAGCGATCCTGGAATGCCTGTTATTGGGCTGCTGAAACCCAAGCCCTAGGGCAGCATTTCCCAAAAGGTAAAAACCACAGCTCTCCAGTGCCTTCAGATATGGGAAGAAAGGAAGGGAGGACTCTAAGCGGAAGGAAATCAAACTTCAGAGAACCAGGCACTAGGGGCAGATCCTGGCCTGCCATAGCAACCAAACCATACCCTGTTCAGAAAAAAAATCAGATGCCCCATTCTCAACTGCATGGCTTCCCAGTAAACGGCAGTCATGGAGAGGGAGCAAGAGACCCGGGCATGAGACCACACAGCCAGGTTGCAAAAATTCTCCCAATCTCAGTTCTGCCTGGGGTCTAGGCTTCCCACACTAGCTAGCTGTGTCTATTTCAACTCAGGCACTCACAGCTGGGGAAGAAACCAAAGAGAAGTCGCGGTGAAGTGGATTCTTCACAGTGGACAAATTCCCCTTCTCTTCGCACCCAACTTGCAGTTGGCCTTATAAAGCTCTGTCACCATCAACTTACAAGCCCAGCTGGCTCTCCCCGGCAGGAAGAGGGCTGGGAAGCCCTGCCTTCATCTCCCTGGGGAGTCTGAGCAGCAGCTTGCCAGGACAGAGCCTTTCAGTTCTGGGCCAGTCTCATTCCCTTGAGGTTTTCTGGGCAAGCCCAGTAGTAACCCTGTTTCCTTCCCACTCAGACCCCACAGAGCTGTCAGATTCTGGGGTTTAGGGTAGAGAGAAGCCAGGTGTGCTCAGGCCACAACTGTGGTGGAAGAATGGGGGTGGAAGAGAAGATGGGAATGAACCAACTTCAAAAACTGCCCAGTTGGAGCTTCAGAGAAGCTCTGGTGGCAAAGGAGAAGGAGGACTGGTCAAGAGGCTCCAGTGTGGTTCTGGGAACTGGGAACCCGGCAGGGCGGCTCGTTCGTGGGGCCTCCCAAAAGGATAGCAGAGCGGCAGAATCGCCTAGCCCTCGTCGGCTCCCCAACTCGCCCCCGGCCCCCCAGCCCCCAGCCCTCACCCGGTTGCGGGTCACAGTATGGTTGAAGGTGTAGATGTTGACCAGCTCGCTGTTGACCTCATCCACGTAGATGCGCTCAAACTCGGCGTCTTTCTGCGAGACGTTCTTGGGCCCCAGAACCCCCAGATGGCTCTCGACCGAGGCCACCAAGAGCACCAAGAAGGGCAAGCCCAGAGCGAACATGGCCCCAGCAGGACGGCAGTGGCAGTGGCAGCGGTGGCGGCGGCGGCGGTGGCGACAGGCGACAGGACACCTCCGGGACGGGTTGCGGCTGCGGCCGCAGCTTCCAGCATCTCACCAGGACCAGAACTTTAACCCCGGCCTGAGATTAGGAAATGTCCCCTCCCAAGAGCCGCGGAGAGGCTCCCAGGGTCCCCGCAGGAAAGGGGGCGGCCGGGGGGGGAGGGGATGCGGGCTCCGGGCAGGGGTCCCAGCTCGCGAGGGGCAGAGTACGACCTGAGACCCTGGAGCTCCGGGCCAGGGCCGTGAGAACGAGGGCGGCTGGTTGCCGGGAGCTGGGAGACGCCGAGAAAGGGGAGGGAGGAAGAGCAGGCGGCTGGGGCTGGCGGCAGAGGGAAGCGAATCGCAGGGTGAGGGGCGTGAGAGGTGGTAGCGACCCGACGCCTTGCGGGGCGGCGAGTTTTCCGGGGTGCGGGCCCTTTAAGGACGGGCGGACGCGCAGGCTCCGACGCACAGAACACTGAAAAGTGAGCTGCGCCGCGGTGTGGTAAACAGCAGGGCTGCTGGCCCGCCCGCTGACGTCAGGGGAAACTGACACAGATTTAAAGGACCAGGTCCCGCCTTTGCCCTTAAAGGGGCTGCAGCTGTGTAGCTGGAGGGGAAAGCCTGCAATGCTTCCTTCAAGTCCTACCCAACTCTCGCGTTATTCTGACCATCTCTGAAACTCATGTTGGTATAAGGATTCTGTTAAGAATCTCCAAGTGTTGGGTTTTTGTAGAACAACTCTTCCCTTTGCTCAAACATAAGGATTTCACAACCACCTTTACAACTAACATCGTTCACCCCTGGACCATTTTTTCTCTGGGGATCTTAAAAAATGAACTCAAAGGATTAGGAAACAGGACGGTGGCCCTGCTGGCGGAGGGGAAACGGAGGCAACACTGCAGGAGGAACCCCCATGCCTTTCCCACCCCCGCTCTGGAGGGGCCACACAGCTGCAGGAACAGCCTTCCAAGCTTTTCAAGCTTGAGGGGCTGTTTCCCCCCTTCTCTCAGAGGCAGTTACAAAGCTCATTGAAAGATACTGACCTAGGCCGGGCGCGGTGGCTCAAGCCTGTAATCCCAGCACTTTGGGAGGCCAAGGCGGGTGGATCACGAGGTCAAGAGATCAAGACCATCCTGGTCAACATGGTGAAACCCCGTCTCTACTAAAAATACAAAAAATTAGCTGGGCATGGTGGCGCGTGCCTGTAGTCCCAGCTGCTTGGGAGGCTGAGGCAGGAGAATTGCCTGAACCCGGGAGGTGGAGGTTGCGGTGAGCCGAGATCGCGCCATTGCACTCCAGCCTGGGTAACAAGAGTGAAACTCTGTCTCAAAAAAAAAAAAAAAAAAAAAGAAAGATACTGACCTTCAGTGTAAATTGGTGAAAACTTTTGTACAAAATATTTTGGCACTGTTTCAAGAAACTTAAAGAGCTTTATGCCCTTTGATTCAGTAATTCCACTTTTGGACTCTATCCTAAGGAAATAGGAAGCACAGATAAAAATATGTGGGCAGCTATGCTTATCATGTGATATTTATAATATAAAGCAAAAAGGCAACGACTTGGATGTCCATAATGAGGGATTGTTAAATGCACTATCATGAAGACATCAAAAATGATGCTAAGACTTCAAAGGACATGTAAGTAGAGAATTCAGGATGTGACACTAAATAGACAGTATATAGAGCTGGGTACGGTGGCTCACACCTGTAATCCCAATACTTTGGGAGGTCAAGGCGGGTAGATCACTTAGGTCAGGAGTTCAAGACCAGGTAAGGCCAACATGGTGAACCCCATCTCTATTAAAAATACAAAATTAAAGGGGCGTGGTGGCATGTGCCTGTAATCCCAGCTACTGGAGAGGCTGAGGCAGGAGATTAAATCTGGGAGGCGGAGGTTGCAGTGAGCTGAGATCAGGCCACTGCACTCCTGCCTCGGCTGCAACAGAGCGAGACTCCGTCTCAAAAATAAATAAATAAAACTATATATTTTGAATACATATAGACATGCACAGAACCAAACACCCCATGTTCTTACTCATAGGTGGGTGTTGAACAATGAGAACACATGGGCACAGGGAGGGGAACGTCACACACTGGGGTCTGTTGGGGAGTGGGGGACTACGGGAGGGACATCGGGCGGTGGGGAGGTTGGGGAGGGAGAACATTGGGAGAAATGCCTGATGTAGGCAACAGGAGGATGGAGACAGCAAACCTATGGCATGTGTGCGCCTATGCAACAATCCTGCAAGATCTGCACATGTACCCCAGAACGTATAGTACAATAAAAAAAAAAAGCAGAAAAAAATCATACTAAAAATTTAGCAGTGTCTTCAGGAAGCAAGGTAAATTTTAAAAATAAAATAAAATTTAGCAATAGTTATCTTTCAATTGCAATTTAAAAAATAACACGTTGTGTATCATTTTCCTCTAATTCTAAAAATATAGAATAGTACCAAAAAATAAAAATTAATGGATTGTGGGTGGTTCTTAAATTTTATTTATATTAAAAAAATTTACAAGTGTTCTACAATGTACATATATTGCTTTTTTTTCCACCATCTTGCCAGGCTGTTCTCGAACTCCTGATCTCAGTGATCCACCCACCTCTGTCTCCCAAAGTGCTGGGATTATAGGCATGAGACACTGTACCTGGCCACATATATTGCATTTATAAGACAAATTAGACTTTTTTTTTTTTTTTTTTGAGACGGAATCTCACTCTGTTGCCAGTGCTAGGGTGGAGTGCAGTGGCACGATCTCGGCTCCCTGCAACCTCTGCCTCCCAGGTTCAAGCTATTCTGCTGACTCAGCCTCCTGAGTAGCTGGGACTACAGGCGCGTGCCATCATGCCCAGCTAATTTTTATATTTTTAGTAGAGACGGGATTTAACCATGTTGGCCAGGATGGTCTTGATCTCTTGACCTCGTGATCCGCCCGCCTTGGCCACTCAAAGTCCTGGAATTACAAGCATGAGCCACCACACCTGGCATTTTTTTTTTTTTTTGAGACATTCGGTAAGTATTTAATAGGCATTCACTATGTGCCAGGTACTGTTGTAGTTATGCTAGGCAAATGGTGAGTGAGTGAATTAGTTTTGGCCCTTGTCCAAGCATAGCGTACTTGAGGATAAAGACTAGAAGCAGGCTGCAGCAATTGGTGAACCCTGGAAAGTCAGCTGGAAGATAACAAGGGTTTCCTTGGCCAACCCTTCATTATGCAGATGGGGAAAGTAATGCTCAGAAAAACTTCAGACCATTAGTAGCTCACTAAACTCAAGTTTGCACCTTAGTCCAGTACTGTTTCCAGTACATCTAGGCGAACATGGATCAGAGAATCCTCAGGATGACAAAAGAGGTTTCTTCATCATGAGCCCTCCATGCAGTCAGCTGCCAAGTTTGGAGAATCAGTGTAGGATTTCCACAGTCTATCTGGACTTCATTTTATTTCATGGTAATCCTGCTCATCTTGCCAGTAAATAATCTGAAACACTAAGAAACACTCCTGATATATTTTCAGGCTGGTCTTGAACTCTTGGCTTCAAGTGATCTGCCTCAGCCTCCCTAGTAGCTGGGATTACAGGTGGGCACCATCATTCCAAGTTGGCCTCTTAACTTTGAGGCAAGATGTGACCCTAGGCCTGTTTTAAATGCACATCCAGAGTCCTACTTCACACTTAATTCATCTTGGGAGGTGAAGTCCAGAAATCTGCAATTTAATAGGGCACTCCAGAAGCTGGTTATGCACAATGAAGTTTGAGAACCACTGCTCTGGAACCAAGCAACTGTGGACTATCACTATTTCTGTCTGCTCCCTTTCCTCTGGCAATATCTGGAGAGAAATCTATCCAAGCAAACTCTTAGGGGATCCTTCCCTTTTGCAAGGTCTCAAGACTTAACTTTTGAATTGTTAGCACTCTGGGTCTACAGAGTTGGGAGGGCAGCAACTGCAGATTTTCTTGCTGTTCTCAGGTCTGCAGAACTTCAGTCCCTCTGCCCCACCCTGCCAGGGAGGGAACAGCACAACCCACTTATGAATAGGTCCTTTCTGAGGTCTGTCCACTGGGAGAGAATGCCTTTTTGTTGGCTGCAGCCAAGTAGTCAGCAAAAAAGGGCAATGGTGGGTCTCAAAGTCAGGCTTGTGAGTGCACAGGGGAGATGTCGAGGCCTCAAGGATGTGATCTTGGCCTTGTGCACAGGTCCAGCTACTGTATTCCCTGCTGTAATATACAAAGAGCTCAATCCTAACCCTGGCCCTCAAGCAGTCAGGGTGGGGTCATAAGGCTCAGATGACTTCTATTTCACAGTGGGCCACCCTTCCTGAGCCTGAGTGCTGAATGGACCAATGAAATGGGACCATTCAACATGCAGCTGAGGAGGTTGCTAGACCCATGAGTCCAGCTCTATTTTAAGTCACAGGGGATTTATAAGTTTGGGGTGAGAGGACAGGGAAGAAGCTTCAGCTGTCTCGGGGTATTGTTAAAAAGGAACTGAAGATGGCTGGGTGCAGTGGCTCATGCCTGTAATCCTAGTACTTTGGGAGGCCGAGGTAGGCGGATCACCTGAAGTCAGGAGTTCGAAACCAGCCTGACCATGGAGAAACCCCATCTCCACTAAAAATACAAAATTAGTCAGGCGTGGTGGCACATGCCTGTAATCCCAGCTACTCAGGAGGCTGAGGCAGGAGAATTACTTGAACCCGGGAGGCAGAGGTTGTGGTGGGCCAAGATCTCACCACTGCACTTCAGCCTGAGCGACAGAGCGAGGCTCCATCTCAAAACAAACAAAAAAACGACAAAACAATGACCTGAAGGCTGCACTCAGAGCAGGATTCTGTAAGAATCACAGTAAATGGGTTAGCTGAATCCAATCAAGTTATTCAGGAACCTGGGAAGTAGGGAGTAGCCATGCCTAGGGGTGGATGACAGAATCAAAACAGATTTTAGAATCAAGTAATGGTATAACTTTAACACAGAAAAAAAGGATTCAAAACCAACCCCTCTGAAGGAAATGGACCTGAAACTTTGTTTTCATAAATTATAAAAATTTATGAAAACGAAGTTTTTCTATTTGGTGCTTAAAAAGAATTGTCCCAAGCAGGGTGCGGTGGCTCATGCTTGTAATCCCAGCACTTTGGGAGGCCAAGGCGGGCAGATCACAAGGTCAGGAGATGGAGACCATCCTGGCTAACACGGGGAAAACCCATCTCTACTAAAAACACAAAAAATTAGCCAGGTGTGGTGGTGCATGCCTGTAGTCCCAGCTACTCGGGAGGCTGAGACAGGAGAATCGCTTGAGCCCAGGAGGCGGAGGTTGAAGTGAGCTGAGATTATGCTATTGCACTCCAGCCTGGGCGACAGAGCAAGACTCCATATTTAAAAAAAAAAAAAATTGTCCCAGACATAAGCAACTCCAGCAGCAAAAGTTCAGCAGTTCTTTCCATCATACAAGTTCCATTATTTCCCAGGACTGCCCTTGTGTGTGTGTGTCTCTCTCTCTCTCTTCCTACAAGGACTGCAAAAGGCTGGATGCAAGTCAGATTGGGAATCAGTTAAAGACACAGGTACTAATCTGCCATAC